TCTATATATATATATATATATATATATATATATATATATATGACATTTCATAGAATATATATGACATTTCATAGAATCATCTACGTATACATTTAAATACATTCTTACTACCTTAGCGGTTTTGAATGCAGGTGACCACAGAAAGCGGTGGTTATTGTGGCTACGTATACGTAGTGAGAAGTCTACCCACCCGGAGGAAGGCTGTCGTGTATCTTGGTCAGTATTGTAAGAACCTTATCTTCGGTCCAGTCGTGCAGAATTCGGCACACCACGTACAGATCCGCCGGCGGAAGGGGGTCGTGGAAGAAGTCTCCTGTTGCAACATAAAGACAGCGTTTAATTCATCTCTTCACTTTTATCTATAGCTATACAACCAGACTAGCACGGGCATGAACATGCAATAAAGATTCACAAAGATTCATCATCATTGTTTTTGGTGCGTCTGTTCGTGTGTTTGTGTAAGGGGTTGTGGGGAGGGCGTCCGTGGCGGTGCAACAAAGGGAAGGTGAAGGGACAACGCAACACGGAACCTGTGATGTGAGGACGTCCGCAGTGGTGCCAAGAGGACCTGCGAGCGGTGCTGATAGGCCGTGTGACGTGAGACGACGCCCTGGTCCAGGAAGGAAGGGGTCGTGATGTAGCTAATGATGTGTTGATATATATAAGACCGATCTACAGACTCTTGAAAAACTCATGTACTTTTAAACTTGACAAATGTAACCGAGGTAGAATTCACCGGGTTCTTTGAGGATGCTGCACGGGAGACTAACTACAGGGCTAGCAAGAACACACGCAGGACACAGGCATTGCCGTTACGCACGCACGGGAGACGATGGGCTGGGACAGTCTTCTCTGTAACCTTCTCGCGAGCTGTCTCTGTCTCAGACTGTCTCCCCAACCCACAGGACTCCCAGCTTTTATTGTCAAACCACAGACTGGACACAGATTGAACAACAGACAGTCGTCTGGCAAGGGTAACAATACAACATTTAACACCTATATGACATGTCCTTGATGTTCCTATCATCAAAGCCTCAAATTAGCATAACCAGATTAACATGCTGGCCACAAAAACTTCAAAGCCGATGGCCTCTTACAATGTACAGTACATAAGAAGTGTCATTTTCAACCCCTTACATTTGTATGTGTTCCCGTAGTTTTCCCACGTGGTAGGCTCGTCGACGCGTCTGGGTAGGTGACAGGAAATTAAGTCAAAGGTCACTCAAGCTGTTTTACTACCGTAATTACCTTCGCCAAGAATTGACAAAGGTTATGTTTTCATGGCCGTATGTCTGTGTGACTGCCTGTCTGTCTGTCAACAGCATAACTAAATGATTAGATTTTGGACCCCCTAGCGAATTATTCGCGGTACAGATTGAACATAAAAATACCGTGAAAAAAATTGTGAACAAGACACACAGACGCGCCAAAAACAATATCTCCATTTTTCATGGAGGTAATTACAGATTTCCTGTCTTTAATTTCCTGTAGCTACTATATGTATGTCTCTTTCCCCATACGTGGAGCCAATGGAATATGTATACACAAATCCAGTGAGATAATCACAAAATTTATACTATTCAAAAAAATAAAATAATATTTTACACAGCTTTGATGAATAAAAGTGTGGTGAGTCGTGTAAATAAATCAACAAAAGACCTACATATAACATGAGAAGAGGGAGTAACGAATTAACCTATTGCAGTAACAAAATGTTAGGAACCCAAAGAACATATAAAACTACAAGAAGAAAGAACAAGGAAAATCATCAAATTTGTCACTACAGTTTCACCTCAAGCTAATCCGATTAGACAATATGTAAATTTAGGTTAGTAAATGACATGTTTCTGTTTTTGTCGACCCACCTGGAAGAAAGGAAACCCGTTGACCTTGTTCATCATCAGGCCCTCTGGCAACTGCGACCTTTACAACTTCAGGCAGGTCAAATACAGAGATGGAGGCTTTTGGGTAGGCAGCAGCAAGGTGGTAGGCAAGAGGTCCGGTACAGCCTGTAAAATAGCATTAGTAGAAGTACTGTATCTACAAAGCTCTGTTTGTTTGTTTGTTTTTATTAGATCTCCATTAGTGTTCAACTGACCACTATTCTTCCTGGAGTCCACATAAAATTCAAAATTATAACAACAGAAATGTACAGAATTCAACTCAATATTAACATAAATCAGAGTTCGAATCAGAGTGATCACTGACATTATAAAAGTAACATAATTAAGTAACATAAGGTAACTTAAGTTCGAAATCAAAGTAATAATCAGTTAATGTAGTCAACTATGAAACAAATTAACAACAAAATCTCTTGATTAAACAAAATGATAATGCAACTCAAACCAGAGAGGGAGAGGTCGGAGGTCAGAATAAATTATAGTGGTAACTCAAAATAAAGCCCATGTCACACATTCAGGCCTGAACAGCAGCAGATCACGTTCATCTGACGTTTGGGAGAAGACTACCTCTATATATACGAATCAAAATGAATTTGAGTTAAATTTGAGTCAAATATATGATTTTGATGATATATGATACAGTAGCCGACCTAGTGGAACACCAGCCGACCTTTGCTCGACCTACACTTAACAGTGGTTGGGGGCGTTCCGCTAGTTAGGGAGGCCAAATTCGTAAATGTGTGACAGGGGCTTTGCTCATTAACCTACAACTTGCTCTAAAAGAATGTGTACCAGAGAACCCCTCTTATTCACAATATAACAGGACGCAGACAGGTATCGACTTCCGACTACCTTTGACCCAATCATTACGTCACACGCCCCCGAGCGCGTCTGAAAAAAGTGAGTCAAAGTCTTGATGAAAGTCATTGATACGTAATTAGGCGAATCATCTGTCTCCTGTTTTGCATAAGCATAGTAACCTCTAAAACTTTGGTAATTTTTTTAAAAGGATTTTCCAATTCTAGCAATGTACATTTAATTTATAACACGAAGCAACAAAATTACAGAACAGCTACGTGCTAAAAAATAGACAACTTCAAAATTGAGACCTTGATGAGTAAGTCCTTACCTCCAATATCACAGATGTTCTGGAACTCAGTAAGATTGAAGGCTGAAGCTGTCTTTGCTCCAAAGACGGTCGGCAGTCCTTCCATCGCACCCATAAAACCTTTCGTCGTGCTGGTAAATAATATTGACATTGTAGAAGGGAAAAACAGTTTTGATATGTGTCAAGAACTGCTCCTACTTCCCAGCAAGCCTAGTTGCGTTTGGGACCACAGTACACTAGTCTTCATGCTGCAGCGCCATCTAGCAGTGTGAATCAGCATTGCCCGGGGTAGACAAGGAGAATCCAGTGACACATAAGGAAATGATTTTGGCAGCAAATAATTGTACTATCCAAAGTTTTTTTTCGACCTAAAAGTACTTCAATTCTTGCATATTAACGCTTGTCTAACCTGTAGATATCCTTGAATGTTTTTCCCCGTTCAAGCCCGCGATGTGTGGAGAAAGCAGGCCCTTCTCTTATTGCCATCGGGAGGTCAGCCCAGGGAGAACCGTAGAGGTTTGCCAGATGGCCCACCCAGTCTGCCAAGTTTGTGGGACTTGATGTCGTTAGGAACATCCTGCTAGCCTCGGTAAGTTGATACTTACCATCCTCTGTGTACACGAGAAGTTAAATTGTCATTTTTAAGTTTTCCTCATTAGGCCATGTTGATTTGATTATATGGATGACATCCTCCGGGAGCCCCAAAACTGATGCGCGCGTGCGAATTAAAAAAAAGTTTTGAAAAAAAAAAGTTGTTTTCATTATGAAATCTACGTGGTCATGAGGGTTGAACAAATGGGACAGAATATGGTTTGGCGAATAATATAATCTTCAAGTTCATTTCCTTACAATTTTGTCTTTTTTCGTTTGATTTTGGCATTCTACGACATTGGTATAGTTTTTACTTATTTTTTTTGTAACTTACGGTATATTTTTGCTCATTTTGCAACTGTTTTGTACGATTTACAGTATGGTTGAAAACTTTTTTTTTGGAAACGGCCGAAAATTCATGCGCGCGCGGATGTCATCCATATAATCAAATCAACATGGCCTTATCAACACAATTTTTCCTGATTTGCATAATAAGTGATCATTATGTCAATGCTGCCTTGCTTAAAAGACCTACATTTATTTTCAAAAATCGCGAAATAACCCCTATCTCAAAGTACATGTATTAAACAAAATCGGCCCCTGCAGATCAAACATAGCTGCTAGGGGGCCTTAAGCTATACCACTTCTTCACAATCTCATAGTCAAACGCCCTTGATTAGTTTGGTTTCTTTATGGAGGTTACCTGTTTCGTTGTCAGCGTTTAATTTCCGCAAGAAACCCAGACCAGTACATGCGTCCAGCAGTCTCTTAGTGGCATCAGTGTCCGCTCCAATGCCTTCAGAAATGCTCACTGCAGTCATAGGATCAGCGGACGCGTCCAGAAGGTCAAAGATGCCCAATTTCAAGCCGGTAAATAGCACCTGAAAGGAAGTAAGGATTACTTAAGCGTATACATAGATGAAGCCTGGTAACCATTACGGTCCGACTTTGGTGTGTTTTAATATATTTCAGCCCATACCATGGTATGGATGAAATATATTGTGTTCTCTCATGTTTCTTCTTCTCCTTCTTCTCCTTCTCCTGCCACACAGTCAAATGGATTCAACTCTGTCATTTTTTAGTCAAATGACCTGAACTTTGGCATGGAGGTAGAGTGGGCCAATACCCCCAGGCGTTTTTTTCTTCTTTTTTTTATACATGCCTTTTAAAAATTTTTATGAAGGTTTTTTGGGGCATTTTTCGCCAAAAAATGGATTTTTGGATCCTGAGCCCTGGTTTTACAACCAAATGATCTGAAATTAGGTATAAGGGTACCTTGAACATGTGTCTACAGAATAGCAGTCACATATTTGGCATACAACTTTAATGGCTATTTTCAGCAAAAAAAAGGCCAAAAGTGCTATACCCGTTCCATGTTCTATCTAAAGAATGCCCCGTTCTATCTGCCGTCGACCATGGAACACGTGTTCCATTGCGGGTTACCTGAGGTCACATTGCACGTAAGTCGTGCGTAATGACCCACACATTCAATTTCATGTGCCTAAGACCTTCAAAATGTATCAAATCTCATCATTGTTAGTATTTGCATACCTGTAATAAGATTAGTAAAGCTTTCGAGATTCAATGTGCTTGTTCTTGTTGCATCTTTGTTCTCAATTACATAGCTACTATATAATTCATTTATTTGAGAATCTTTGCCAGTTTTACACTGGGGTAAGTTTGGAATAGTCCACTTTTGCGTGGGAGGGAGATGGACTGAAATATGCTGTATTTGCTCTCAAGCAAATGTCGGCCTCTCTAGTTTTTTTTTTTTAATTTATTCATTCACATATATTTATTGAGTATTGGGCAAAAAGCAAACTTTGCCTATACAACGAGTGTTAAACACATTGACAAGATACATGCATAACTAGAGAGGCCGACATTTTCACCATCGCACACCGGGGCATTCCCCTATTCTTTTTTTTAAGTTTAATGGATTCTTAAACATGAGTGGGGTGTGGCTCAAAGAATGGGCTTCAATTGACATCCTGTCCGCAGGACGTCCCTAACCGAAGTTAGGTACTTATTTCTACCTGAGTGAAGTGAGTAAAGTCATGTAAAGTGCCTTTTCCAAGGGTACAACGTCGGGGTATGTAGGTGGATTTGTCGCCACAACCCATGCACTCCGGGTCGAATGCCTAGCCATTAGTTCTACCAGTGCTACTAAGAATATGCGTTTTTTATTTGATTTGATTTATTAGGCTGAATAAGACCTATGTATACAGTCAGGACTGCCCAACTAGCCGGAGGCTATAATAAAGAGCTAGCCCTCACAACAAGAACATAAACAATTCGGAACAGTTAACAGTGTCGGTTACACTTCAGATAAACCTATTACATAAGAGATGTTGAGGCCTAAACTTAACAAGCTATGAGATCTGGCCTAGTCGTCGTGCGTTTACTACAATTACATTGTGTACTATATTTACATGTCAGGTTAACATGCTATTACATAACAGATGTTGCAGTCTAATGTTACGTTAGGGTTAACAGGTTATGAAATCTGGCCTAGACGTCATGCATTTACTATAATTACGCTGTGCACTATATTTGCATTGTCAATACAATTCTATTGTACAGTTTTACTAAGTAGTTGTCGTCAAGAATTTATCAAGTATTGTCCATAGTTTGTTTTTAAAGGAGCTGATGGAGCGGTTTGTTCGGGTATCGCTAGGGAGAGCATTCCAGATGTTTCTGGGGTCTTGAGAAAGACATTTATTTATTGTGCAAAGCATGTTGAGAGAACCAAGCTGCCCTGAGCGTAAAAGCCAAATTCCTCAGCGTGCCACCGAGCCAATGTTGTAAATTAACTCTGATCTCTACCAGACTCCAAGGCTCCGCCGGGAAAACATAGTAGAAATTGGTGCCATACAGCTGGTTTGCAGTGTAGCCCTGTCAGCCCTATGGCAGGCTAACTCCTCTGACATGATATTTTATAGGGCCGCCAAAATGGGACATTGTGGCAACATTCTCTGACTTTAGAAATAGTACGTTGACCCTGAGTCTGCTTTATGGGCCCGGTATATTTAGAAAGATTGGCAAGCTATATATGGGCTGTCAAACGGATGTGCCATCTGGCAAGTGGTACGGAATTTTTTTGTAAACAACGTTTAACGATGGGATAGCCTGCAGATATAGCCTGTTGTCAAGTCTATCGCGGTTGGGGTGAGTTCTCTTCGTGGCTTCAGAAACTCTTTGCCGACCGAATCAGCTAGGTTCCCCGGTAGGTTTTAATGTCTGCCGGCGCAGTCTGTAACAGGTGTAACACTCCCACCGAGCGAACTGGACGGGGGAAACTATGGCCCCGACGACAGCAGCCTGCCCCAACCACGATAGACTGGCTATGACTGGGAGAGAACACGCCGCAATTTACCAACAGTGTTAACGTTAGAAGAAGCCTGGCTAGTCTCCAAACAGGAGCTAAATACGGTAGAGAATTGGACAGGGCCGTTTGGCTATGTGCCCGCGCAGTTGGAGGGGAAATTAACCCTTGGCCTTCCGTTGACTGGCTCTTCTGGCCAATTATTCTTAATTCTTTGCCGAATCTTACCCCTTAAGAAGGCCTGGTGGAAGCTAGAGGCCGGCTACGATTAACGTTAATAGCTCGCTACGCCTCACGAAAAACGGAGAACTCAATCTCACGACAATGTACTAAACACCTGGCCAGCACAATCTATGAAAGTCGACACGCCACACGCTGAAGTACCGAAGTAACGGGTTCCATTCCCAGCGCTCGGTATACAGCGGTGAGGCGGCTTCCGTCCTAGATCTCCAGTGCCGAAGGGACGTCAACACTTGGTGTCCAGTGTCGGCGGCTTCGGCACTGGAAAACTCCCAATCGGCAAACCAAACCACACTATTACTACGGTACGGCGTTTACCTGTGACTTCATGAATCCTTCGGCGATTTCCAGAATACGGCGAGCCTCGTGTTCTGCACCTCCGGCTGCCATGTCTGTGGCGGGCGTGCAAAGGCCCGTATTCCTCGCAGGCGCAGCTGGCAGTGAGCTCAGTTTTATTGTCTTTCCAGACTAGGCCACAGCACGTAAATTTTATGGATGACATCATCCGCAGACTCCAAATCTAATGCGATAGGGTGACAAAACTGAGTCTTTCCTTCCGTTTGGAGATGGGCTTCATTTGCATAGTTAATATCTGCCAATGTTCCCATCGTTCCCAATTATGTATATCATTACTTTGACTAGTCCTATCATGAAAGGCAGAAGATTTGTAGATTTCTCTTATTGATTCTGCAAAATAAGATAAAAAGATCGATCCTGCTCTGCATCATTATCAACTAATTATCCAAGCATCGCATAATATACTAAGGATCATGACTCTTCAACCGGTTCTTGAGTTTTAAATTATGTTTAATTTTTCTTTTAAAAAATGCGCCCTGCAGTTCCAGAACAAGCTGATCGGGGCCCAAACCCACGTCCGTTCTTCCCGAGTACAAAATCTATCAACCGATCTAAAATTTGTAACCTTCAACTTTCAGATGAAGACATATCAGCTGCAGTACCATAAGCCGTCAGACCCAAAGACCCAGGCTTATCATTTCGAAGTTCCATCAAGAACTACCCACCTACCAAGTATCAAGACAATTCATCTAAGCCTTCTCGAGGTAATGGCTTTTCAGATACACTCACACAGACGGACACACACACACAAACACACACTGTGAGACACACACACCGGACGCTACCTAAACCCTAACTTCTTGGCGAAGTTATATTTTAGATAAACCCTTATATGATCCTTTTTTGGGCATTTTCTACAAGTTTGTTTTCAGTTCAGCAACTTTAAGTATGGTAGAGCCTTTTTTCCAAAGACAGGAATTTCTTTCTCTATGCACTCCGCTGAGTGACAAGAAACAAGATGCTGCCTTCGCTTTGCCTCAGCTCAGTAGACCGGAGCCCGACAGGCCGACTTTCGCCCGAATCTGCCGAGCGGAAGGGGCCTTCGGAAAGCTTCGTGTCGCTTCCGAAGTCAGAGATCAGGCTGTGTGCGGGATCACGGTCTGCCCAGTGGTTTACGTCCTATACTGCGTCTACAGATTCTCGGAAGGTACCGAACCCTCTCGGTTGGGTTAAGGCAGCCTATGGCCAACTATGATTAGTATTTCATACATATGGCTGTAACTTTTGATAGCTTGGTCGCACCGCAACTTAACTTCACACAGTTCTAGTAGTACTTGAAACACATTGAATAAAGGTTATTTTGTTTTTACTACTTCTGAATTTTTGGGTTAAAAATCAACATTTTGGTTATAAAAAAGCTGTTTACTTCATGGCTTTACGCGCAAGCGGTAACAACACCTTTCATCATGATATTTTACAGGTAGAAAGCCAACCCCCTGTTTATTATTTTTGTCCGAGGCTATTTTGTTTTAAATGACAGTTACATTGTTTTTTTGGGCCAAAAACGACAGAAACAGCTATTTTTCTGTCATTTTTCGTTAAAAAATCGCCACAGTTAAAAAATTTCGACTTATATGCAAAATAGCCTCGGACAATTTTGTTAAAAAAGTGATAATACGTAAACATGGATTACTCTAAGGATGAATTATGTTGTTTTCAGCTGCGCGTAAAGCCGTTTAAGTCATACTCCGTGAATAAAATGCGTAACAACGCGGGTTTACAGGGGAAACATACAAATGACCGCCGGTAACCCCGAATTCGAACACGCGTTCTATTCGAATGACGTCATATCGAACATGGTGGAACATGATTCGGGTTCGAAACATGTATGTGGCAATCGTGCAGACACACGTCCGAACTCGAACATGAATATCAGCCTAGGCCGCCTTAACCCAACCGAGCTGGTTTATTATGTTTACCGAAGGAAAACATACTGTTTTTGCTCTGCTTCCTCCGTAATAGTGACTATAATTGTGAAAATATGCTTACGCTATTTTCTCTCTATGAAAGATAGTGGGTCATATAATTAAGATCAGGTGTATACATATATATAAACTTTCCCTAAAATGTCATTACTACTTCGTATATTTACGGGTAAAGCGTCCATACGAACCTTTTGATTCATTTGCATTGTATTTTAGACTGTATCTTTAAAAGATGCATTTTCGAAACTTCAAAATGACCGATGGATTGAGTATGCACGGCGTCATTTTATGATGTCATTTTGACGTCAGTGTTGTTGCCAGGGACAACACAAGTCTTAGTAGACCTTAAGAGCAGTTGTCTGTAAAAACCAAGCATAAGGTGGCCAAACTCAAAAAATCAAATTGGTCCAAACCTACAAAAATGGGCATCAAATTGCCCAGGCAGTATCCATTTGCCAAACAATTACCGTTTGTATACCATTCTGAAATATGCCAATGTATCACTAAAGGTAGAGGAACTATCCATGTACATGTACCTCTCGCATTACAAACATTACTAAGTAACGACAAAATGTTTGTAATTCTATCCTATGATTACGATGCCTTTCAAGTTGTATCTTTTGCCATTAATGTAAAGGTATCAGACAATTTGTCAGGGTAATTAAGTGAAAGATTTGTTCAAACAGACAGAAATTGATGAATGTGATGTAACGGTTTTATCATCTATGTACACATGTATTCGATACTCAATAAAGAACAGAGATGAAAAAAAAAAAACAGTTACCGTTTGCCACCCAGGCTGGCGTAGAAAAGATACCAGTACAAAGAGTCCAATGAAAACGCTTAAACCACGCAAAAAATAACCCCTAAACCTCTGCTTGGAGATTATCTATTTTCGTCATATGTGTACATCTCGATTACTTTCACGTTAGTTTCCCCACGCTTTACAGACTTACATCACCACACATATACCTGTACAATTGCAAATTTTTACATATTAGTAAGCATAAAGCAGTATTTTTCAAGAATAGGTAGTCATGTTGGTACTTAGATAACCGTTACTTAAATTCTTGTTTCGATCAATCTCTGCTTCATCTAGTAAAAGCTCCAAAGCTGGATAGCGCTTATTCAAAATTTGTGAACCAAAATTATTACATTAACACCATGTCGCAGTAGATGATATTAAATCTTTGTAAATTCTCAAACAGCAAGCTTAATCATAAGGAACCCTAGGTTAAACGTGCTCTACTACTTACCATCATGCTATTTTAAGCGTTTCTTAACTGAAGATCAACGTAACCTCGAAACATATATCGAAAGGTTTGACAGAAAAGGCTTAAAAAAGGTTCGAAAACCATTACTTTGTGTATCAACCAAGAAGAGAAACAATGAAAATATACAACATTTACATCTTTGATTTTACGTATAAATATATCAATTACATACAGATTATTTCACAATTCTGTATGCCTGTCATGTGTTGGAATATCAGGTGCCACTGATCTTCGTCTTTTTTTCTTGGCACTTGGGAGTTGGTGCCTCGCCTGGTCTACAGCACTGGGAACGAGAAGGGGACTACCAAAGATCTTTCCATGGTGACCGTGGATACCGACATCAAGCAGCTTAGTTGCTATAAAACAAAGGTGACAATATTTTCAGTGCTTGCCTCTGTTAGCTACCGAAATTAAGAGTTTGAAGTTGATTCGCATGTGATAACAAATTACATAATGCTGTCCCACAACCCTTGAGCTCGCGTGATAGGCGTGATTAGTATTCGTGTATTTCCATTACAAACATGTGTTTCAATGAAATCACGTGCTCTCCACGTGATAAGTGTCAACTACATCACGTGCTCCTCACGTGATACGTTTCATTTAAACCACGTGCTCCTCAACGCGATAAGTTTCAATAACAATTGTAGATTTTAGGGGAATCACGTGCTCCTCACGTGATGAATTATAGATTTAAGGGGAATCACGTGCTCCTCATGTGATAAATTATAGATTTTAGGGGAATCACGTTCTCCTCACGTGATAAGACACCATAAAAAACATGTGTTCTTACCATCCATCTTCTCATTGTCCACTGTAAACTGTGCGTTCAGGAAGCCTCTGTGAAACTGTCGCAGGCGGTTAGACGTTCGGACGTCTTCTGAAATCTCTGCCTCCAGAAGTTTAATGCCGTACAGCCGGATGTCATCCATCGTTCCGTTGAAGAAGTTGTCCTCATTCCTTCCGATGTACACATTTGTGTCATTTCCGTTCTAGTTATTTTAGTGCACAGGAATGAAAATACGAGTCAAGATTGGTGTAACATGGATTTCATTTCCAAGGCCCTAAAATTGACATTTTCTAGTTATGCTGGTGTTTCATTTTTATTCTTTCCTTTTTTTTATTTTATTTGAAATAAGCATAACATACATGCAGAATAGAACAATGAAATGAATACAACAAGTACAAGATACAAGAGAGATCCACGGAACCAAGAATAATTAACAAAAAATTGACATTAATAATACAAAATAAATAGAAGAAAATATCTGTAAGATTATGACACTACAAATGATATCAATTATGTATAATAGAACCAGAACAATAATGGTAAATCAATAAGTTAAGTTAAGTAAAGTATAGTACAAAATTGAATATAACAGGCACCAATCAAATGAAACAAAATCTAAGTGCTACAGAGAAAGAAGTCGGGGTTAAGCTGATGTCATGTATTATATCCCCCATTTTTTACAATGTAGCTGTGATTTCTGTATCTGTATCTGTATAGCCGGTATAACCGCCTTTCGGCGAGAAGGGGCTGCACGAGCTAGCTCCATGGAGGAGCTCTGCAGAGCTCCTCCATGGAGGTTGCTCGTTCAGCCCTCAGCTCTGCAGAGCTCCTCCATGGAGGTTGCTCGTACAGCCCTCCGCGATACCCCCGCAGATCTCTGCGCCAAAACAAGCCAATTCGTTGGTTGGCGTCACGGGTTCAGTTTTCTATAGAGCTCTGTAGATATCAAGTTAATTCAATGTGAGTAGTAGGCGATATACAGCCAGTACTGTGTCACAAATAAAGACTTCGTCACGCAACTCTGCGCAACACGGAGAGCTCTGCGCCCTAACAAGTCAATTCGTTGGTTGGCGTCACGGGTTCAGTTTTCTATAGAGCTCTGTGAGTAGTAGGCGATATACAGCCAGTACTGTGTCAAAAATAAAGACTTCGTCACGCAACTCTGCGCAACACGGAGAGCTCTGCGCCCTAACAAGTCAAATTCGTTGGTTGGTTGGCGTCACAGGTTCAGTTTTCTATAGAGCTCTGTGAGTAGTAGGCGATATACAGCCAGTACTGTGTCAAAAATAAAGACTTCGTCACGCAACTCTGCACAGGACTGCTCGCTCAACTCTCCGTCAGTCTGTGACACACGGAGAGCTCTGCGCCAAATGAAGTCAATTCGTTGGTTGGCGTCACCGTTCAGTTTTACTTTCACCTTTTTGCGCTCTACGCTCAAAACAAGTCAATTCGTCATGGCTGGCGACACAGGTTCAGTTTTGTGTAGAGCTCCGGGGATTTTAAGCCAGTTCAATGTGACTACTAGGCTTTGTAACGTACCAGCGGCCCGCAGAGGTGGTATTGCTGCTCTGACAGTCGGCCTCCGTCGGTTTCAAGCTTGCAGTCAATAGCTCTGCGCCGAAACAGCTCAATTCATTGGTTGGCGTCATGGCTTCGTTTTGGTTAGACCCTATTTGAATAAAGCTATAAGTACAAAACAAGTCAATGCTGGTGGTTGCCGCACGGGTTCAGTTTTGTATAGAGCTCTGAAGATATCATGTTTATTGAATATGACTATTAGGCTGAACAGCCAGTACTCTGTCACAAATAAAGACTTCGTCACGCAACTCTGCACAGGACTGCTCGCTCAACTCTCCGTCAGTCTTTGACACACGGAGAGCTCTGCGCCAAATGAAGTCAATTTTTTGGTTGGCGTCACCGTTCAGTTTTACTTTCACCTCTTTGCACTCTGCGCTCAAACAAGTCAATTCGTCATGGCTGTCGACACAGGATCAGTTTTGTATAGAGCTCCGAAGATATAAAGGTAATTAAGTATGACTATTAGGCTGAACAGCCAGTACTTTGTCACAAATTAAGACTTCGTCACGCAACTCTGCACAGGACTGCTCGCTCAACTCTCCGTCAGTCTGTGACACACGGAGAGCTCTGCGCCAAATGAAGTCAATTTTTTGGTTGGCGTCACCGTTCAGTTTTACTTTCACCTCTTTGCGCTCTACGCTCAAAACAAGTCAATTCGTCATGGCTGGCGACATAGGTTTAGTTTTGTGTAGAGCTCCGGGGATTTTTAAGCCAGTTCAATGTGACTACTAGGCTTTGTAACGTACCAGCGGCCCGCAGAGGTGGTATTGCTGCTCTGACAGTCGGCCTCCGTCGGTTTCAAGCTTGCAGTCAATAGCTCTGCGCCGAAACAGCTCAATTCATTGGTTGGCGTCACAGGTTCAGTTTTGATTCCACCTCTTTGCGCACAAGACCAAGTCCGTCGGTTATAAAGCATACAGAGCTCCGCGACAAAACAAGTCAATTCGCTGGTTGTCGTCACTGTTGAGTTTTAATTTCACCTCTTTGAGCCCTGCGTTTAAAACAAGCCAATTCGATGGCTGGCGTCAGTTTAGTATAGAGTTCCATGGATTTTAAGCCATTTCAGTGTGACCACTAGGATTTGTAACATACCAGGGGCATTGTAACATCCATTTCCCCACCCAAGGTTGGGGAAATGGATACAGACTGGCCAATTTGATACTGTCTTACCCCCACCAAAAGATCTGCTTGGAGATTAGTCATAAAGCACGCACAGAGCTCGGCGACAAAACAAGTCAATTCTCTGGTTGTCGTCACTGTTGAGTTTTGCTTTTAAATCTATCACCTCCGCGTTCAAAACAAACCAATTCGATGGCTGGCGTCAGTTTTGATAGAGCTCAGTGGATTTTAAGCCAGTTCAATGTGACTACTAGACCTTGTAACGTACCAGGGGCTCTCCCAAACAAACAAGACTTCGCAGAGTTCACAGAGGTGCTAGGAAAGCCCTAGCTCCGTCGGTTAAAAAAAAAAACTAGACTGATCCGCAGAGCTGGCTATTGCTGCTCTGACAGGTAGGGTTACGTCGGTTTCAAGCTTGCAGTCAATAGCTCTGCGCCGAAACAAATCAATTCCTTAGTTGGCGTCACAGCTTATTTTTGGTTAGACCATTGTAAATAAAGCTATAAGTACAAAACAAGTCAATGCTGATGGTTGGCGTCACGGGTTCAGTTTTGCATAGAGCTCTGAAGATATCATGTTTATTGAATATGACTATTAGGCTGAACAGCCAGTACTCTGTCACAAATGAAGACTTCGTCACGCAACTCTGCACAGGACTGCTCGCTCAACTCTCCGTCAGCTCTGCGCCAAATAAAGTCAATTCGTTGGTTGGCGTCACGGTTCAGTTTTACTTTCACCTCTTTGCGGTCTGCTCTCAAAACAAGTCAATTCGTCATGGCTGGCGACACTAGTTCAGTTTTGTATAGACCTCTGAAGATATCAAGTTAATTGAATATGACTATTAGGCTGAACAGCCAGTACTCTGCCACAAATAAAGACTTCGTCACGCAACTCTGCACAGAACTGCTCGCACAACTATCCGTCAGTCTGTGGCACACGGAGAGCTCTGCGCCAAAACAAGTCAATTTGTTGGTTGGTGTCACCGTTAAGTTTTGCTTTCACCTCTTTGCGCTCCAACGAATTGACTTGTTTTGGCGCAGAGCTGACGGAGAGTTGAGCGAGCAGTCCTGTGCAGAGTTGCGTGACGAAGTCTTTATTTGTGACAGAGTACTGGCTGTTCAGCCAAATAGTCATATTCAATTAACTTGATATCTTCAGAGGTCTATACAAAACTGAACTAGTGTCGCCAGCCATGACGAATTGACTTGTTTTGAGAGCAGACCGCAAAGAGGTGAAAGTAAAACTGAACCGTAACGCCAACCAACGAATTGATTTTATTTGGCGCAGAGCTGACGGAGAGTTGAGCGAGCAGTCCTATGCAGAGTTGCGTGACGAAGTCTTCATTTGTGACAGAGTACTGGCTGTTCAGCCTAATAGTAATATTCAATAAACAGGATATCTTCAGAGCTCTATACAAAACTGAACCCGTGACGTCAACCATCAGCATCGTGTGTTGTACTTATAGCTTTATTCACAAGGGTCTAACCAAAAATAAGCGGTAACGCCAAACAACGAATTGATTTGTTTCGGCGCAGAGCTATTGACTGCAAGCTTGAAACCGACGGAACCCGACCTGTCAGAGCAGCAATAGCCAGCTCCGCGGTCCCCTGGTACGTTACAAAGCCTAGTAGTCACATTGAACTGGCTTAAAATCCCCGGAACTCTATACAAAACTGAACCTGTGTCGACAGCCATGACGAATTGACTTGTTTTGAGCGCAGAACGCAAAGAGGTGAAAGCAAAACTGAACGGTGACGCCAACCAATGAATTGACTTCATTTGGCGCAGAGCTCTCCGTGTGTCACAGACTGACTGACGGAGAGTTGAGCGAGCAGTCCTGTGCAGAGTTGCGTGACGAAGTCCTTATTTGTGACAGAGTACTGGCTGTTCAGCCTAATAGTAATATTCAATTAACTTGATATCTTCAGAGCTCTATACAAAACTGAACCTGTGTCGACAGCCATGACGAATTGACTTGTTTTGAGCGCAGACCGCAAAGAGGTGAAAGCAAAACTGAACCGCGACGCCAACCAACGAATTGACTTTATTTGGCGCAGAGCTCTTCGTGTGTCACAGACTGACGGAGAGTTGAGCGAGCAGTCCTGTGCAGAGTTGCGTGACGAAGTCTTTATTTGTGACAGAGTACTGGCTGTTCAGCCTAATAGTAATATTCAATAAACAGGATATCTTCAGAGCTCTATACAAAACTGAACCCGTGACGTCAACCATCAGCATCGTGTGTTGTACTTATAGCTTTATTCACAAGGGTCTAACCAAAAATAAGCGGTAACGCCAAACAACGAATTGATTTGTTTCGGCGCAGAGCTATTGACTGCAAGCTTGAAACCGACGGAACCCGACCTGTCAGAGCAGCAATAGCCAGCTCCGCGGTCCCCTGGTACGTTACAAAGCCTAGTAGTCACATTGAACTGGCTTAAAATCTCCGAAGCTCTATACAAAACTGAACCTGTGTCGCCAGCCATGACGAATTGACTTGTTTTAAGCGCAGAGCGCAAAGAGGTGAAAGTAAAACTGAACGGTGACGCCAACCAACGAATTGACTTCTTTAGGCGCAGAGCTCTGCGGGGGTATCGCGGAGGGCTGTACGAGCAACCTCCATGGAGGAGCTCCGCAGAGCTCCTCCATGGAGGTTGCTCGTGCAGCCCCTATTGAGTTTAGGGCACCCGGCTGTTATCAGGTGGAAGGG